GCAAAATCATAAATAGTTTATAATTCAGTTGATGCTAGTTTTGGTTTGTAGTCCTCATACCACCACTAATACTTTTTATTTCCAACCCTCATAAGAGCTGCAAGGTACAATGAAGAACCAACCATATTCCCTCTGCCTTGATTCCCCACTGTTTGATCATTCTCTATTTATCTACACATGCACATGCATACATATATAAATGTATATGTACATGTATGTATGTGTATACGTAAATAAAATTTTGCTGAAACACCTGAAGGTATGTTGCAGATACCATGAAACTTCCTCTTAAATACTTCAGATTCCATCTCCTTAAAAAAAGCACATGATCCTACAGAACCACAATACCATAATCACAACTAAGAAAGTTAAGACAAATTGAATATTACCTACTAAAAAGTACAGTTCAAATTTCTCCAAATGTCCAGACAATGGCCTTTTCTCTTTGATCCAAGATCAAACTTTAAACAATATATTTGGCTATATTTTATTGTCTTTTTTAATCCTAGAATGGTTACCCTGCTCTCTGTGTTTTATTGTTGTTATTGTTTATGACACTGACATTTAAAGAGTCTAATAGAGTGTTGGCATTCTGGATTTGCCTGATTATTTCCCCATGATTAGATTCAAGCTAAACATTTTTGGACACAAAACTACATAGAAGATGTTGTGTGTGTATCACACCAGGAGGTACATCAAGTCAAGTTGTACTAGTAATGATGATGCTAAATGTGATTGTTTGATGTACGTAGTAATCACCTGATCTCTCCATTTGTAAAGGTACATTTTCCCCCCTGTAATTAGTAAATAATCTGGGGGAATTTTTTCCACTCATCCATTTATTAATATTTTTGTGATCTCTAGGTGGTTTAGTTGCTGGAATGATATTTTCAGACATTGTGAATATCTGTTCCCCAAAGATATTTCACTCAATCCTTGCTTAAATCAATTATTATACTAGAAATTGCAACCAGGTTATTTTCTAATTCTATCATGATGCCTTCTATATATTTACTATCTGGAAACTTTCTTCTATACTCCCACTTTGAGTAGCATAATGATTGATTTCTTTTTTAATTTGATATAATATATAATCCATTACATTCATTAATCTTTTTGAATCTTAAATTATCCCAAATTTGGCCTGTGAGAAACCTTTCAAGCTGATTCCTATGTCCTTTTGACATGTCTCCATCTGTCTTGAGAACCTACTTATTCAATAAGATGTTCCAGAGCTCATCTGTTACTCTCACTTCCCCAACTCTGAAATCAGCCATTTCTCCAGGGAGCCCTAGTTCCTTTTAGTAGGGAATAGAATTTAGAAGACAAGATCTAAGTGCTTAGTATGTTCATTATTTCTAGGTCTATGACATAAAAAACAATATATCTGGTCTTTGACCCTGGGTTCTTAGAGATGTTTGCTGGAGACTGACCTGGCCAAGGATTTAATCAACTATGTACAGGCGTACAAGGGGACTCCAGTAAAAACTCTGGATACTGAAAGCCCACTGGAGCTTCGCTGTTGGAGAACACACTGATACGGTGTGCGGACGGGGTATAGGGGCTGATGAGCACAGACTCTGAGAGGGCACAGGAGCTCTGCATATCTTCCTCACACCCACTCCCCAGATTTTGCCATATGTATCTTGTCCATTTGACTTTCTGATTTGTACCTTTTATAATAAAACTACAATCTTTCATATAGCACTCTCAGTGAATTCTGTGAGTCACTCTGGCAAATTAGCATACCGGAACGGGTTGTGGGAACCCTCAAATTTATATCTGGTTGGTCAGAAATGCAAGTGGCTACCCAAGACTTGTAGCTGGTGTCAGAAGTCAGGACAGTCTTGTGTAGCACTTTGCCCTAAACCCGCACAGTCTGACACCAACTCCAGGTAATTCATGTCAGAATTGAACTGAACTGCAGGACACCCAGTGTCAGAGAACTGATGTCAGAACATGCAAAGTCCTTTCAGTGAACATAGCTCGAAAATACTGTTTATTTATATACTGACATATATGTGCATGCATATTTAAACTATAAATTTATAAATAAAACAATAAATATACTTCTAAGGCCGGGCACGGTGGCTCACACCTGTAATCCTAGCACTCTGGGAGGCCAAGGCAGGAGGATTGCTCGAGGTCAAGAGTTCGAAATCAGCCTGAGCAAGAGCAAGACCCCGTCTCTACTAAAAATAGCAAGAAATCAATTGGCCAACTAATATATATAGAAAAAATTAGCCAGGCATGGTGACGCATGCCTGTAGTCCCAGCTACTCGGGAGGCTAAGGCAGCAGGATTGCTTGAGCCCAGTAGTTTGAGGTTGCTGTGAGCTAGGCTGATGCCATGGCACTCACTCTAGCCTAGGCAACAAAGCGAGACGCTGTCTCAAAAAAATAAAATCTTAAGTCCATATCAGCCTCCAAATCAAATCTAACACCAACTGGAAATCACACTAATGCATATGATCAACCATATTATTTTTTACATTGACACAATATTCCATTGTGTGGATATACCATGGTTTTTTCAACCAATATCTAACAGAGGTGTTTGCTATGTATACTGCAATGTATAACCTTGTGCAAATGCTGTTTTGCACTAGTAAAGATGTATCTCCAAGACAAATTCACACAACTGGGCCTGCTAGATCATGGACAAATACATATGTGATTTTAGAAAAAACTACCAAAAGTCCCACCAATGGTATAACATAGGTTGTACCATTCTGGACTCTCACCTGCTAAGTATGAGTACCTGCTTACCCACAGCCTCACCAACTGAGTACGTCATCCAGCTTTTGAACTTTTTACTATTTTGATAGATGAGTAATGTATGTCAATGTAGTTTTTCATTTGCATTTCCCTTAATATGAGTAACACTGAGCATCTTTTCCTATCTTTAAATCTCTTTGTAGAGCTTTTTCTGAAAATTGCCTGTTCATGTGTTTTGGCCATTTGTCCTATCAGGCTTTTTTGTCTTTCCTTACCCACCTACCCCCAATTTTTAAGAGTTCTTTGTATAGTGGAAAAATTAATAATTCATCTCAGACATAAGAGGCAAATATTTTCTCCTGCTTTATCATTTGTCTTTTGATTTTGGTTACGGACATGTAAAACTCTTCAAAATCATTCATAAATTCAACACTCTTTTATTGCTTTTAGGTTTTGAATCATATAGAAAACCTTTCTCCAGGTTATCAAATGCATATAATTCTTCTACTATATATATTTTTCAACATTTAGCTCTCTGATACATTTGGAGATTATTCTGATATATGCACAGGTAATAGATGTTGTCACAACGCCATTTATTTATTTATTTGAGACAGAGTCTCACTCAGTTGCCCAGACTAGAGTGCCATGGCCTCAGCCTAGCTCACAGCAACCTCCAACTCCTGGGCTCAAGCGATCCTACTGCCTCAGCCTCCCGAGAAGCTGGGACTACAAGCATGTGCCACCATGCCTGGCTATTTTTTTATATATATATTTTTTAGTTTTCCAGCTAATTTCTTTCTATTTTCAGTAGACAGGGTCTCACTCTTGCTCAGGCTGATCTCAAGCTCCTGAGCTCAAACAATCTCCCCGTCTTGGTCTTCCAGAGTGCTAGGGTTACAGGCGTGAGCCACCACGCCTGGCCAACACCATTTATTTTTAAAGTCCCTTTTTAACTCTAGTACTTGAGATTCCACCTGTAACATATATGAAATTCCCACATATTCTTGGGTCTAATCTTAGAATTTTAGTCTGTTGCATAGGTCTGTCTCACAATGAGCCAATAATACATTTTAATTATAGACGCCTTATGGTATATTTCAGTATCTGCAAGGGTTAGTCCTTCTCATTACTATTTTGCTAAGGTTTCCTTAACTATTCTTGCATGTTCATTTTTCCACATGAATAGACCAGTCTAGATCCAGGGTGGGAAAAAAACCTCATTGGGATTTTCATTGGGACTGCGTCAAATATTTGTATTAAGTGAACTCGTATCTTTACCATACTAAGTCACCCTATCTAAAACAAGGATGTCTTTCCATTCGTTCAAGTCCATTTGCATACCTTTCTGGAATGTTTTAAAGTTTTCCAATATAGGTTTAGGGCACTTAAGTTTATCCAGTATAGGTTTAGGGCACTTCTCTTTAACATTTATCCATATGCGATTATTTACCTTTTATGTGACTACTGTAAATGAAGTCTCTTTCATTATACCTTCTAACTGGCTGTTTGGAAACATAAAGGTGATTGACTTACTTCATGACTATAACCTGCTACCTTATTGAATTCTTTAGTTTGAATTCATATAGGTTTTATCATTGATTTTTTTTAGATTTTTCTAATAGTTTTACTTCTTTTTCTTCTAAGGCTTACAGATTTGATATATTTTTAGTTAAGGGAATTCTCATTTTCCAAAACTCATAATTAAATTAACACTTTATTTTTGGGAGGGCAGTATATATAATATTTCAATTTTAGATCACTGGAATCTGCATAAAATTTTACCACTCTGTACATTCTCACATTCATCTAATCACTGAGACAATCACAACCAGACATCACTTCCTGGATTCCTAAGGCCCCCACCCACACTGATCTCAACACCTACAGGATAGGCTGCCATTCCTAAGCCCCAAGACTACTCTGGCTACACAATAGGGAAGCAAATTTGCACCAGAGTTCCACCTGCAACCTCAACAGTAATAAATCCTATCATGCTATTCATCCTCATACAGCCCTGAATAAAGTCTCTCTAACCATCAACCCACTCCTCAGTCCTTATCCTAAAATTTCCTGCTTATCCTCCTATGAACTCGTTTTCACAAAATGGAAGATCTTCACAAAGTTCATGAAATAAATGGCAAAAAATTACAAACCTGTCAAGAAAGGAACTAGAGAAATGAAACTCTTATTGTGAACTTAGATGAACTACACAGCAACACAGAATACTACACGTTAGCCAACTGCAGGGACCAAGTTCAATATTTCCCAAAATAATGATACCTTTTCTTTCTTCACGCGATCCATAATTTTGCCAAGATCCTCAACATCAACAACAGAATTTAGGCCCTGATGATCCTCAGTACCAAACTCTTCCTCGCTGGTGTTCTCACCAGGCTCTTCCTCCTGGAAAATAAATGTTTCATAAATACATTGTTCAAAGTAGCAAAGTTCTCTTACACTCTCTCCCACACAGAGACTTCACTGCCTTTAAATTTTTTATTAAAGAGAAAAATCTTAGGTCATTGGCATCAGACTAATCACTGTGAGAGGGCATCACTGAGTGAGAATAACTCACACCTCACCTGCCCCCCCACCCCACCCCCGTGACAATAACATGAGCACAGCTCAGAAAGAGACACATCCTAGGCAGAAATAGAGGACACATGACATCACTATGAAAAACACTTGTTGAGTATCTATTAGGCGCCCAGTGCAGTGTTCTCCATATATTCACTTGTTTAATCCTTAACTACTAATGATGTAGGTATGTTTAGCATCATAAATAGGTGAGCAAATTAAGTCTAGTGAAGTTAAGAAATCACAGCTAATAAGTGGGAGGTATAGGCACAGCCTTCATCCCTTTCTCCAAGAATTCTGCTAAGGCAGAATTAAAGGATAAACAGATTTTAAGAAGTGATATAGTTGCTTATTTTAAACAACAGGTACTTTCTAAGTAACTCCAAGATCACTTTAAAGTTAAAAGAAACAAGATGTCAATAACCTTCACGTGCTAGCCAATATGCCCTGGGGTATAGCACAGAGACATCATATAGTCAAACGTACTGATCAAGTGTTCAGCACAAAATAAAACAGCCCCTCTTCGAGGTCACTCTTTGTCCTGCTCCAGATGATAAGACCGTCATGGATGTTCTTACCTCTCCTACCTGAAACCAAGACTGATACTACAGAAGCAGGGGCTATAGCTGGCTCACTCGTGTATGTTTTGCTTTGCTGATAAATGAGTAGAGTCTTCTTTGCCTTGCTTCCAGATGACAAAATAAACTGTTTCCAGAAATAGGTGTATGGAGGTGTTCAACTAATCTCAGCCCAGCTTCAACAGAAAAATCTCTGCCAGTTAACTCCACCCTCCCAGCCGCATGCCCAAACTATCAAGAACGGCAATGAGAACACCATCTGAAACATACCTTTTAACAACTAGTCAACTGTTTAAATCTTTCAGTCCAGTGATTCCAACCTAAGTGTCTAAACATGTAAGTATACAGTATTGGCCTCTTTTGATGTACTTATTTTCCTAGAACTGCAATAAAAATCAGTATTGCCTATGTCCCTTGTGCTCCTACCTCCTTATTTCCAATAAATTACAGAATCTTAAACACAGAAGAGACAGCAGGGATCATCTAGTCCAATCTCCCTATCTTATGCTACACCAGAGGTCAGTAAACTTTTCACGTAAAAGGTCACACAGTAAATATTTCTGACCTTGCAGGACATAAGTCTCTGTCTCAACTATTCAACTCTGCCACTCTAACACGAAAGCTGCTACAATAGATAAATATATGGGCATGGCTGTATTCCCAAAACCTTTATTTAAAAATAAAACAGTCAGCAGGCTAGATCTGGCTCGTGAGCCAGTTTGCTGATCCCTGTATTAGACTCTCCTCTACAACTTCTCCTTAGACCTTCATAGATTTTGACAGAAAGTCTCATCTCAAGAATTTACTGCCTCCCAAACACCCCCGTTCCACCTTCACATAAAATCTAACCACAGCTGCTACTAACTTGGCTCTGTGTGACCCTGGGAAACTTCAAAAATTCTCCTCAATAAACAATGGATACAATTCATGATAGCCACTAGGTCTAGAAAATTAACTTCACACATTTCCCTAGCCACCAGAGAGATTCCAATCCAGTAAGACAGCAGTCCCCAACCTTTTTGGCACCAAGGACCAGCTTCATGGAAGACAATTTTTCCATTGCCCTGGGGGCAGGGGGATGGCCAGAGCTCAGGAGGTGATACGAGCCATAGGGAGCAGCTGTAAATACAAATGAAGCTTTGCCTGCTCGCCTGCCACTCACCTGCTGCTGTGCAGCCCCCCATTTCCTAAGTTTCATGGAAGACAATTTTTCCATAGCCAGGGGCAGGGGGTGGTGGTGTGTGAAGGCAGAGCTCTGCCACCCAGTCCCTAACAGGCAGTAGACCGGTACCAGTCCACAGCTGAGGGGTCAGGAACCACAGAAGTAAGAGACACATAGATACATGAAGCGGTAATGCTTTAATGAAATGGTTTAGGAATACAAAAAGGAGCCACATAGCCTGGCTGAGAATCCATGGGAGTCTGCCTGAATGAGACAACACCTGAACCAAATATTGACGCTGGCCAGGCACAGTGGCTCATGCCTGTAATCCTAGCACTCTGGGAGGCCGAGGCAGGCGGATTGCTCAAGGTCAGGAGTTCAAAACCAGCCTTAGCAAGAGCGAGACCCCGTCTCTACTAAACAAATAGAAAGAAATTAATTGGCCAACTAATATATAGAGAAAAAATTAGCCAGGCATGGTGGTGCATGCCTATAGTTCCAGCTACTCCTACTCGGGAGGCTGAGGCAGAAGGATCTCTTGAGCCCAGGAGTTTGAGGTTGCTGTGAGCTAGGCTGATGCCACGGCACTCACTCTAGCCTGGGCAACAAAGTGAGACTCTGTCTCAAAAAAAAAAAAAAAATGTTGAGGCTAAGGCAACTGGCCTGCCCAGAGGAAGACAGGTAGTAAAGCTGTTAAAATTAGAAGGTCAAAGTCACTTGGGCAAGCAGCAGGAGGCATTTGCCAACTATAAGCAACTCAGAGATTCCCAATAGATAAAGAATAAAGCATAAAACACAGGGAGAAAATGCTACAGAGGAAGATGTGGACCAGACTGCACAGGGTCTTATATGTCTCAGAGGGAGAGCATAGGAAGCTTCTAAAGTGGTCTAAACAGAGAAATAATATAGACCTGTATCATAGCTCACTCTACTGGGAAATTACAAGATAATTTAAGGAAGACAAGACAGTAGACAAGGATAACTGTGAACAACTTACTGCCGTACTCTAGGGAAGAGAAGATACTGGCCTGAATTAAAGAGTAACAGAAGAGCAGAAAATTGGACATTCAAACTCATTTGCCTATTGAAAAATGTTTTCAGCACCAAGGACCCCAGTGTGGCTACAGCTTGGTAATAAGAAAGAGAGAGAATAGTGGGATATGGGTGGAAAAATTCAAGAGTCAGATTAGGTGCTAAGGTCATGCTAAGAAATGTGGCTTTTATTAAAGTAAAATGGAAAATCACTTAAGGCTTTTAAACAGTAGAGTAGCATCAACTGACTTGTGCTTTTAAGAATACTCTGAATGTTAGGTGGAAAAGAGATGAAAGGAGAAGAGGGGAGATCAGATAGGAGGTTCCCACAGTAGTCTAGTCAAGAAATATGGCTTGAACTTGTAGGTTTGCAATAGAGATGGAGGGAAATTGATGGATTTGAGATATTTTAGGCCAGAGATCAGCAAACTATGGTCCACAGGCCAAATCCAGCCAGCCTCAGGCCAAATCTCAACATGAAAATTCATTACAAAATTGCCTATGGCTATCTTCTTGATACAGTGGCAGAGTTGATAATTGCAGCAGAAACCATATGACCCACAGAGCTGAAAATATTTACTAGCTGGCCCTTTACAGAAAATTTGCTGATCCCTGTTTTAGACAAAGAACCAATCAAACTTACTGAGAAATTCACTGCAGGAATGAGGAAAAGGAAGGAATCAAGCAGGGCTCTCATCAAAATATGAGCAAACAGAATCCAATAGTACATCAAATGGATAATTCACCATGATCAAGTGGTTTTCATCCCCAGGATGCAAAAATGGTTCAACATATGCAAGTAAATAAATGTAATTCACCATGTAAACAGAATTAAAAGAAAAATATGATCACCTCAAGAGATGCAAAAAAAGCATTCAATAAAATCCAGCATCCCTTCATGATAAAAACCCTCAACAAATTCATCATAGATGGAACATACCTCAAAATAATTAAAGCCATCTATAACAAATCCACAGCCAACATCACATTGAATGATGAAATGTAGAAAGCATTCCCCATAAGAATTAAAACAAAACAAGGATAACTGCTTTTACCACTTCTATTCAAGACCATACTGAAAGTCCTAGCCAGAGCAATCAAGCAAGAGAAAGAAATAAAAAGCATCCAAATTAGAAAGGAGGAAGTCAAATTATCTCTGCTGATGATAATAATCTTTTTTTTTTTTTTTTTTTTTTTTTTGAGACAGAGTTTCACTCTGTTGCCCAGGCTAGAGTGCCCTGGCATCAGCCCAACTCACAGCAACCTCCAACTACGGAGTTGCCTTTTAAATTAAGGGTAACATAATTATAAATTAAGTTGTTATAGTTTGAAGTACATAGAATGAAATGCATAAATCTTAAACACTTACCCTGATGAATATTTACATATGTATACACACTTCTATGTGACCACCACCTAAATATTATAGTTGTTGGAATTTTTTAATTGGCTAATTAAAAAACTCATTCAAGGCCGGGCG